GTGAAAGTGCCCTTCTACTAAGTCTACTTCTCACCACATCATCAAATCTGAACATCAGTGTTATTATTGAGCTCTTGAACGTCCCCCAAAGAGCTCATATATTTAGAGGAATGTTCACAGGTGAAATGATTAGATTAGGAAAGCTATAAACTCATCGGTGGATTAAAACATTTAATGAATGGATAATTTGAATGGACTCCTTGGTGGTAACCATAGGCAGGTGGGCCACAGCTGAGAAGTGGCCTTGAATTATATCTTGTCCCTAGCTTCTGGCTCTCTTTCTGCTTCCCAGCTTCTGTGAACTGAGTATCTTCCTACAACATGCCCTTCTGCTAAGTTATTATTCCTCTCCTCAGTTCTAGAGCAATGGAGTTGGCCAACCATGGGCTGAACCTCTGACACCATGGGCTCAAATGAACTTTCTTCCTCTAAGTTGTTGTTATCAAGTGTTTTGGTCACAGGGATGAAAAGCTCACTGACCTACCAGGCTTGTAATTAAAATGAAGAGTATGCTCACCAAAGGCAAACATCTTGCCTTCAGAATGAGTTACATATGTTTAGTCTATCTGAAAACAGAAACAGCTGTTTGGAATTAACTATATTCAAATGAATCATCATAAGAGTCTATGTATTGATGAACATGCCCACTTACACGTGCACACAAAGGTATCACAGGTAACTCACAAGTCCAGCAGTGGTCAGTGGTTCACTGTAGTGACCAGCTCCCTCTCACTCAGTTGTGAATGAACTTTCCCAGCAGTTGCCCTGACTGCTGTTCTCTTTGTCTTCCATGTGAGATCTTTTGCACCCCTGCTTTACACCAGCTTCCCTCATAAGCTCTTCAGAGATATAATATTAATTGCTCAGAAATGTCACTCTGCAAATGCTCCAATATCATTCGTTAATGAATAAAGGCTTCATTGTTTGTATTTCTATTACTTTAGCTACTTCAATTTCTATTTTTATTGCAAAGATTTGTGCAAATAAAAGAATATCAAAAGGCATGGCTATAAATGTGCTCTGCTAAATTCCTTCTGCCTTGAAATGCCTTTTACTGAGGCTGCAAGATGCCTACTGCATTTTAATGCCTTTTGTATGAGGCAACATGAGAGGGTAGAAACAGGGCTGGCTTGAATCCTGCTCCCCTGTTCACTAGTTTTGTTACTTCTCTGAGCCTCGGTGATGGTAAAATGTCAACAACAATGTCATGCTCACAGCTTTGACAGAGGAGTAAATGAGATGAAATATGTAGAGCACAAATATTATACCTAGGAAATCATGGAAGCTCCATAAATGTTAGTTTATTTCCTCCAGTCTACAGCAGCAACTAGAGGAGACTAAGGTGTGCACAAATGTACACTCATTTGAAAATGTACTACAACTGAGAGAATTATAAACTAGAAAGAATAAAGTTGGATTCCAAGGAAGCAGATAACGCCTTAATGTGAAGTTTATGAGTGGGGGCCAGTTGGTCATACCTGTAGGTGGCTACGATGTGGTTTCTGAAATTCACTACAACTGTAACCTCTGTTCAGCTCCGTGATGTTATAGAAGGGACTGTTTAACTATACCTCTGCCTCTAAAGGCATAGGCTGTGTGATTCACAAGAAATCACTGCAATATAAATCTGTTTTGTTATATTGCTTAAATTAACTTGACAAAAAAAATTCTGCATATTGAAAGTAGATGACTAGCATTGATCCCCTTCAATAGACAGAGCTATGCTAGGAACATTTTTGTAAGAATGCCCAGTGAACCCATAATACAGAAAGCCTAATTTCCTAACTACCAACACGGAGATAGAGTTATTTCTACTTTGACATATTTTACGTGGTCCCAAGAGTATTCAAGTTACATTATAATCTGATGTCACTTCTGAAGCTATCAGGCAAAAGATTCCCTAGAATCTATACTTCTTAGTTCCATAAAGCCAGGAAAATAGAACAGATGGAACAAATATAGAGAAGAAAAATCTAGCTCCTCAGAAAGTAAGAGCTCTAGGCTAACTTTGGTATGCATGCTGGTTCCATTTGTTGCTAAAGGATCCCGTCTCTAAGATATAAATAAGATGGAGGAAGAGAAGCAGCTTATATGGTAGTAAGGTATCCTGGAAAGAAGAGACTTTGAAGTCAGACCAACCTTGATAATTGTCTTTTAGGCATGAGCCTCATATCCTCCATCTTCATTCAGCAGAACAATAAAAGCTATCATTCAATATTCTTTGGAGACTTTGAGATATTATGGCACCTATTACACAGGCACTGAAAATAAATTCACCCCAAGTACCAGTTCCTGTAGTTTGTAGTGGTTCTCTGAAGTTCTGGGTTAAGAAGGATTCTGAGACAAAGTCTAGGATTATTGGGAAAGAATCTGTAATTGATCAGTGATGTCTTCTCTGGGCAAAAAAATGAGTAAGTAAAAGTTTGTATCAATATATTTGCTATATAAGTGTTCTATAAATTGTGAACTATTATGATGATTACTGCTATTATCTCAAGGCATTTTTATATCCTGCATCAAAAAATGGCTAAATTTCTACATCTTCAACACAAAATGAAATCAATTAATGACTTTGACTATAAATAATGGTATATGTAATTTTTATTAATTTTTTGGTAGACTTTTATGTGTTTCATCCATTGAAAAGAACTGAAAAGTGAGATCAGAATTTGGYATTCCAAATTTTAGTGTATAAAATGCCTCCTTAAGAAAAAAAATCTGATATAGTTACTAAAGGTAGCATGTGTTTGAAAGGTAAAAAGAAGAGGTGATCTTGAGGTGTAGTCTCACATTATCATAAGACATTTGCACAGCATTCCATATTCCAATAGTCACACTAGGAAAAATCTGCAGCATGTTTTGCTCTAAGAAGCTCCAAGACTTTGTCCTGTCTTTTCACTGCAGCGAGATTTCTCTTCTGGGTAAACAGTCATGTTCCTGTCAACCATCAGGGGACTTTTCAAATCCTGAACAGCTGATTTTATATTCTTCCCTCATTCCCTTACATGAGAACAGCAAGCTGATCAAACCCATATTTTTAAATTAACGTATTTATAGGCGTATGGAAGAATAGTTTACAGTCCTTGTATGATTTCCCCACCACCACAAATGGAGGAAAATTGTGGTGTTTGGTGTTTTCTTTTTGAACACAGCCTTATCATTTTCTCTCTTTTTTTCTTTATTACTGATGACTTCATTCTACTTGAATTCAGTGCTTCAGTTTCTTCAGGGTAAACTAATAGATTATGTATGCGATGTTTGCACCGCGTTGATTGAACTCATCTGGTGAGTTTGAACGCAGCTTGTGCGTTCCTGTAACTGGCAGGAGCTTGTGCATGGGATCCAGCCACCACAGTCATCTCATGTTACTCCGGAGCAAAGGAAGCAGTTCAGAATAGATGGCACTACCTTTCCTGCCTACCTGTGCTTGGGAGAAGCTAAGCAGGCCTTCTTGTGTCTATTGTTATCTATTTCAACTGCACAAAGAAAACTTTTATTTAAGAAAGGTGTAATAAAGAAAGAAAATTAGAACTATTTCGAGAAGTTTAGAATACATATTGAAGAAAATAAAAAGGGTGTGATTCCTAAGGGTTTGTTGTTTCTTAATCAAAACATGGGCTGAAGAGTATCTATGGAGCACAGAAGAGCCCCAAGCCTGCACCAGAGAGCATGGTCATGCCTCCCTCAATTTACCATCTAGCTCCAAAAAATGCTTTCCCTCCAAAACCTGTTACTCCCATTTCCCTTTTTAAAATTTGTATCCTGGGCTGGGGTTGTGGCTCAGCRGTAGAGCGCCTGCCTGGCACGTGTGAGGCCCTGGGTTCCATCCTCAGCACCACATGTAAATAAATAAAATAAAGGTATTGTGTCCAACTACAACTAAAAAATAAATATTTAAAAGAATTTTGTATGCAGAATTTTAAAATACTTCAACAAAATAGATGACTACTTTCTAGTGCTTTTAGAGATCTTATTTTTTTTCAGAGGCCTCATTTAAATTTAAAACTCTACTATAATATTCAGGGACCTTTCTGGCATGTAAGGCTCCTCACACTGGGCCCTGCGCAAGCTTCCTCTGATCTTCTTACCCTGGTTCTTCCCCAGCTGGAGCAGTGATCCTCACCTGCCTGTGAAACAGGCGTGTCTTTTGCAATTGAGTTAAAGTACCCAGATTTGCCAGTCGTACTTTTGTCATTTGTTAGTATAAATTCTAAATATCTCTACACTAAATCACCAGTGCCATTACTCACTTTTATTCTAATTTGCTTTCTAAATGAGACAGGGAAGAGAACATGTATCATTTGATGTGTGGATGGGAGGATATGGAGGGGCAGGTAGATGTGGTACTGGACAGCGGTGAGTCCTGGGAGGAAATAGTGGCTAAGGTAAAGAGGAGAACCTTGGATAGGTGCCATTCAGCTGTCACCCAACCCCACTATCCTTTCTTTTAATTTTTTGGCATGGCTTTTACTTTCTTTACCTGTGCCCTGACTGTATTCATCTATTGACGTGTATCCCACCATCAACCACCCCCATTCCCAAAATTCCCACATCTATTGAAATGAACAGTGGCGCATGCCAGCCCCACATGATATCCAGCCTTCAGGTCACACAACCAGAACTTTGTCCCAAATAGACAGTGCTTATTTGAGAAAATGAGATACCCATGTTGAAATTTAGCCAAATTCTGTGTGTATGATTATAAGAAGAAAGGGTTGAGTTTCTTTAATTGCTCTGAAAGGTCAAGACTTTGTCTTACCTTCTCATTCCAAAGGCATTTATTAATGCCAAGTCAGATATTTTGACCCTTGGAGCTAAAGGTATGCATTCAAGAGCCATTTTGTGTTCATTTATATTACTTATTTCACCATTCTCCTAGCATATTTGAATTACATTATCCAATCTTTCCAATTTGGATGCCGTCCCCTTTGATAAGAAGAACAAAAAGTGACTTTCAAGGATGATGTGACTGTGTGACTYTGTTTGTCTTTGTGCTATAGTGGCCGTCCCATGGGTGGGAGCACTGACCGAATCCAGAAGCTGCGGAAGGAGTATTATCAGGCTCGGAGGGAAGGCTTCCCACTATATGAAGACGAAGAAGGAAGAGCGAGGCCATCTGATTATGACCTTCACTGGGTAAGCCCATGCCTGACTCCAAGCATGCATTTATTTCTCTTTACCAAAACAATATAAAGCAGAAAGTGGTCAAGAATGCTCAGTGCATAGCAGATTGCATTCAGTTTTCTTGAGCTTTATAGACATGAACATGATCYAAAACAGCCATCTTCTCCCACTGAAGCTGTTTACATGAATCAAACCTCGCTAATGTATGTGCTGATTCTTGTTGCTCTCATACTACTTCCTGTGGTATACTCACTGGTTTGGGGAGGGCACTTTAAAGAGGACAGGGGATCTCTGTCACCATCCAATGAGCCTCAACTTACCCTAATTCTCTTTGACCTCAGGCATCTGGGCCAGCATTAGTAGACTTTGCTACAGAAGCCATCTCTCTTTTGAAAAATGGTTATTAGAAGTAAATTTCAGAAATGTTATTGTCGGAGATATCAATTGTTTGCAGATTGGATCTGAGCAATTCACATTCCACTGATCTTACCTGTATACTAGGAGTGTTTCGTTTTGAGATAAGGGCAGTTTTTTGTATTAGAGGATTCGTTTCACCAAATCCTTCAACATTCAGGGAACAGAAAAGGATATTGCGACCACTGAAGAGATACTCTCCAGATTTTCTCAAGGTAGCACAATTCATTTTCTTGTCTTTTTCAAGAAGGTAAGTCTATGCCTACCAAATACACTTAACTCTTGAGCRTCCACAAAAATGCCCAGAGGAGGGTCCTTAGAGTTGGATTACATGTACCTGTCAGATACTTAGAGCGGTACCTGACACAGAGCCGGTGCTCAATAAATGTCAGCTCCAATAATGTTCCTAACATTATTGGAGGTGAGCTGAACATGGTCGTAGTCATGTCCTTGTTGTGATTCATTCTCACACACCCTCTTTGATGCTTACTGCCTTCTACTACAGTTTTTAGTGACGTTTTGAGAGCCAAGTAAGGAAGTCTGTCATCCCTGGTGCCCACTAAAGACACCAGATTCTTTGAAAAGCAAATCTATTAAAGTTTCCTCTCCTGAATTGCATACTGATATTTGTGCTCCTAARATCAGGGTGGGGAGAGTGGAGTCCAGTGACAGAGCTGATCCCCCCRCTGGTTTTCACATCTGTGGTGTAGCACATCAGGTGTGGCTTGTGGTTTGAATGGTGGTTTCAGGATCCACCACCACAGAGACCCCTCAGCYCAGGAGATTCCTCCTCATGGATGGAGCTTAAAAACACTCACCAGAAGTATAGGATGAGGACCCCCAATCCCAAGCAAAGAGGTGCCAGCCTCTTTAGAGAAAGGCATCCCCAGACTATAGATCAGAACAAACATCGATTTATTGGTTTTATTCCAGATGTTACAATTGAACATAATGACATCCGTAGCGATGGGTCAACTTGTCTCTTAGAACTCCCAGTAGCAGAAGAGAAAGAGTTCCACRGAAACAGATTAGATGACGATCACTGTATTTCAAACTGGATGGACATGGGTGAACTGCCCTTGACAAGAGATGTGAGCCCCTTGGTAGGTGAGGCTGCGCTCCTTCAGCCAGGCAAAGCAGCCACAAAGGAAAGTTTTTTCCACTCTGACCAAAGCAGCATCTGTCCAGTGCATCAGGGAGTGCTCCACCACAGAACCACAGAAAACCCCTCAGAGCAAAACAAGACAAGTAACTTTAGATTACGCAGTCCTGAGGGTTTTAAACTTATTTTATATGATTTCTTTAATTTGAGCTGAAAGGATGAAGATGCTTAACCTTCACGAGACTGACGGGGTTTCCTCTGGCCCTCACTAGAGTGAGCGGAACCACTTTCCCTCGGGTGTTCCCTTTTTTCAGTGATTCTATTTTTATGCCAAGCAAATGTAGAAGCAGACAATCTGGAGAGTAAGAAGCATCTCCGTTTTAATCTGTGTTTCCCATGCTCCGGTGTGTTGAGCTTTGCCAAAAGTGAGTGAGTTTATGCTTCCCAGACAAGCAGGGGCTGAGGCTTCCCAAAGGGATGCTTGGGAAAGGCTCTGTCATAAAAGACAAGTGTTCTTTGGGATCTCCTGAGATGCTCCAAACCTGGGATTAGCATCTCAGCATTCTTTCCTCTCTCCTCCCCTTGCCAAGGAAAAACACTAGTATCTTTTGTCTAGCACAGCCCTGAGAAATTACAGCATTGTTTTGCTCTTTTGGAAAGATCTAGGAAAGCAAGTTTAGAAAGTTAACATTTCACTCCCGTCAGCCAGATCCAACAAAGCAGCTTTCATGAGACTGTACTTTCTGGATGCATCCAGTCCCCAGCATCACAGGGGTACTTGTTAAAATCAACAGCCCGTGAAGGGGAGGGATAGACCCTAAGAGAGGCCTCTAGGTACTTCTCTGTATTGCCAACAAGGATTCTGCCCCGAATTATAAAATTTGGACCTTGATTTTTATCACTTCAGTAAGACACCAAAGTAGTCCAAGTTTGTAACAAAACTATCTCCACCGTCATTAATCAGAAAAACTCTGATGAACTTAGAACTCCCCAGTCTAGTGTCTCTAGAGGCTTGGTGAATGTTTCCCATACTTTTCTGAGGGAACTTCTGAGCTGTCTAGAAGGAAAGTAGCAAGGTAAGTTACCTGACAACTATGGTTCTCCCTTGTTATCCTCAAGGGAATTGGTTGAGGAACCCTACACATACCAAAATCTGAGATACTCAAATTCCTCATATAAAACAGTTATAGTATTTGCATGCAACCTGTAAATGTCCTCCTATGTACTTAAAATCATCTCTAGATTATACTAGCTAATACAATGTGAGTGCTATGTAAACTGTTGTACTGTGCTATTTAGAGAATAATGAGAAGGAAAAGTCTGTATGGGTTCACACAGATGTATTTTTAGAATATTCTCAATCAATGGTTGGTTGAATCCAACGATGCAGAACCCACAGCTATTGTCAGTCAACTGTACTCTTAAACTAGTTAAAAAATAAGCCATATAAAAATTAAAGTATGCTCATAAAAGTCTTTGAAGGCAAAATGATGAAACCTATTACTTAAAAGCTTATTTTAGGACCTATGATTATTTGTTTTCAGTCTTAATATATATTTCTTTTTAAATTTTTTTTAAATTTAAATTTGTTATATATGACAACAGAATGCATCGCAATTCATATTACACATTCAGAGCACAATTTTTCACATCTCTGCTTGTGCACAAAGTAGAGTCACATCCTTCGTGTCTTCATACATATACTTAGGGTAATGATGACCATTGCATTCCACCATTTTTCCTACCCCTAGGCCTCCTCCCCTCCCCACCCTCCCCTTTTCCCCTTTGCCCTACCTAGAGTTCATTTAATCCTCCCATCTCCCTGCCCCCCCCAGAAACATATTATGAATCAGCATTCTTAAATCAGAGAAATCATACAGCATTTGGTTTTTTGGATTGGCTAATTTCACTTAGCATTATATTCTCCAGCTCCATCCATTTACCCGCAAATGTCATGATTTTATTCTCTTTTAATGCTAAATAATATTCCATTTTAAATATGTGTGTGTGTGTGTGTGTGTGTGTGTGACATTTGCTTTATCCATTCATCTATTGAAGGGCATCTAGGTTGGTTCCACAATTTAGCTATTGTGAATTGTGCCGCTATAAACATTGATGTGGCTGTGTCCGTGTAGTATGCTGTTTTTAAGTCCTTTGGGTATAGATCAAGGAATGGGATAGCTGGGTCAAATGGTGGTTCCATTACCAGTTTTCCAAGGATTCTCCATACAGCTTTCCATATTGGCTACACCAAAAAAAATAAAGTACTTGGGAATCAACTTAACAAGAGAGGTGAAAATTTCTACAACAAAAACTACAGAATGCTAAAGAATAAAGAAGACCTTAGAAGATGGAAAGATCTCCCTTGTTCTTGGATAGGCAGAATTAATATTGTCAAAATGACCATATTACCAAAAGCACTATACAGATTTAATGTAATTCGAGTCAAAATCCCAATCACATTCCTCATAGAAATAGAAAAAGCAGTCATGAAATTCATCTGGAAAAATAAGAGATCCAGAATAGCTAAAGTAATCCTTAGCAAAATGAGTGAAGCAAGTGGCATCACTATACCAGACCTTAAACTATACTACAGAGCAATAGCTACAAAAACAGCATGGTATTGGCACCAAAATAGACTTTTAGATCAATGGTACAGAATAGAGGACACAGAGACTAACCCACATAATTACAGTTGTCTTTATATTTGACAAAGGCGCCAAAAATGTAATTGAAGAAAAGATAGCCTCTTCAACAAATCGTGTTGGGAAAATCGGAAATCCATATGCAACAAAATGAAACTAATCCCCTCTCACTCACCATGCACAAAACTCAACTCAAAGTGGATCAAGGACCTAGGAATTAAACCAGAGACACTGTGTCTATTAGAAGAAAAGTAGGCCCAAATCTCCATCATGTCAGATTAAGCCCTGACTTCCTTAATAAGACTCCTATAGCACAAGGATTAATATCAAGAATCAATAAGTRGGATGGATTCAAACTAAAAAGCTTCTTCTCAGCAAAAGAAACAATCAGTGAGGTGAACAGAGAGCCTACTAATTGGGAACAAATTCTTACCACACACACGTCAGATACAGCACTAATCTCTCGAATATATAAAGAACTCAAAAGTCTTAACACCCAATAAACAAATAACCCAATCAATAAATGGGCCAAGGAACTGAACAGACACTTCTCAGAAGARGATATACAAGCAGTCAACAAATACATGAAAAAAATGTTCAACATCTCTAGCAATTAGAGAAATGCAAATTAAAACTACTCTAAGATTTCATCTCACTCCAGTCAGAGTGGCAGCTATCAAGAATACAAACAACAATAAGTGTTAGCGAGGATGTGGGGGAAAAGGCCCACTCATACATTGCTGGTGGGACCTATGACTAGTTTTTTAAAAGAAGCACATTCTTTCTTAGACTAGGTAGGGTTCTTTCTTTGGCCTTGCCTGGACTTCCTAGACTTTCCCTCCTTGTCTTGT